ACTCGTTAAATATATAAGTTTTATGAGACCTGGTGTGATTATTTTTCTTTCCTTTTTTTTCTTTTTATGACCAAACCATGGTGGTATAAAGACGAGATTGTATACTTTTTTAATTAATTTTAAATGTAAAATAGAGTTTTATCTCTAGGATACATTGAGGACTCTTTGCATATAACCCAAAACCTCCTGACTCCTTTACAATTAATAGCAATCAGAAGGATAATTTTGCTTTGCAAAAATTGAGCGTATAGTGAAATTAGTTAAACTAACAGTAATGTCATCGCAACATATCAAGTGTTTCATCTACAAAAATTACTTCGATTAGTTAAGTCAGAAGGCAAAAAAATTAATTGGAAGACACCTTTCGAAACGCACCTGTCCTACAATTCGAAAGATAATAGACGATTTTTCACCCAAGACTTAGTTTAGCACGTTCAGAATGGCTTTTAAAATTATAGGTTATAGATGAGGTTGTAATTTAAAGCAGAACGTCTTACGTCCTTGAATGCGGCCGTGCTGATTGATTACTATATTATCAAAGTTAAAACGGTCTCCTATCAATTGTTAAGTCAATTTTTACTAAACCGCGATAACTAAAGTCAATAAGTTAGTAACGAGGATTTTTTCTGTCCTTTTATTAACACTCTGTTCGAGTGTTTGTCGTACTGATAGCATCTACAGATAAATATAGAAATATTATAATGGCAATTTCGTCAATTTCCTGACATTCAGCTAAGTGTTTAGCATATCAACATAAAATATATCCAATATAGGCAAAGATTTCTTAAATTTGACTTTCGATTTTGACAATTTGTAATTTCTATTTGTGAAAAAGCCAGCAAAGGCACTTCAATTAGAAGATTAAACTGAGATTAACTGTTCTAAAATGATTTATATATTGTTCAGCGTAGAACATTTTTACATTTGTATCCTGGTCCGCTTCACCTCGCTGTATATTCCAATAAGATGTGTTTCGCAATTCAAACAGCAAATAAAAAAAATGCTGTTTTCGGTTTTCCATTATCAAGTCGTATATGTTAGAACATTTGTGTTTTAAAAACTAGGTTATTATTAGCTTGTTTTATTAGGGTTCCATGTGAACCGATTTAATAGTTCAATGACAAGCCATTTTTAATTTTTTTTCATAAGGAAAATGTACAAGAAAAACATGTTAATGAGGTGAACAAGTGAAGCAATGCATATTCATGGGATTTATTTTAGGCTAACATACTCACTTCTGGAAAATTTTCAAAGATTGAACTACAGAAATTCTTAATTTCAGATATTTTCCTAACTACATTCTATTATTGTTTTACCAATGTTTTCCAACCAGTTTTTCAACTCCTGATTTAAACGTAGCTTATAAATATTGCATTAATGTCTATTGTTTCAGGTCATTATATCCAAGTCAAGCAAAAAAAAGAACGTACTAAGTTATATTTTCATTTCAGTACTGTTCACAAATCAAAGAAAATACATATTAATTTAATAACTGCGCCTAGGCTTTTGCCCGGGCATCGCACCTAGATTTACTTTGGAAACACAAGAAGATTCTTCCCGATGCCTTTTACCTTATCCTCCGATCTACTTGACAGACCTGTATTGCTGAGTCTGTTGGGAACATCCATTTCCTCTCATATTCCAGTAACATCTGGATTCCCCCAAGGAAACATCCTTAGCACGATCATTATTCTTCCTTTCTTTTGTGGACACATATAAGGACTTTGGAAAAGCATTGCCTATTCTTATTATGATCCTCTTAGAACTGCCTATTGACGAATTCTTGATAAGTGAGAGCTTCTCTGCTGATTTGGCTCACCGAAGCTATTTCCTTTTAATCATGTTTTTCATCGCAATTGTTTTTATGGAGCTTTCTATTATTTACCGTAACAAACCCAAAATGTCACAATCAAAGTTTAATAATTATTTAGCTTATTATAGCTCTTCTATATGTATAAAACGGTTCGTGACTGACTGGCAGAAAACGCACAGACCAAACCGCTGATCTAAACTGCTGACATTTCGACAATGCATGCTTATAATGATACGAACAGCCGCTAAAAAAGGATTTCTTGAAATTCCATCCCGAAGAGAATCATATGGACAATGCCATGTACAGACCGAAGTATGCTGAAGAATAGAAGAATTTGAGAATGGAGACATCATATTAGAAAGCCATAGTAGTACTCTGCCTCTCATTAGAAAGATGCATTAAAACAGAGTCCCGCACTAGTTATATTTATATAGTACATAATGAAAGCATACTATTTCATTCAACAGATCAATAAATCTTAGCCGTTAAAAAGAAAATTGATTAATTAATTTATTATTATTTCGCTTGAATAGACAACTAATGAGATGAATAATTAATTATTTGGTTGTACATGACATGTTTAAGTTCAATAAATTTTGCCTTAACACCACCGAAAATGATGTCACGTCACTGATATATTTTTTGTATAGCTATTAGTTTATTTCTTTTGATATCCTTCTGCCCAAAGGTTTTATTTGAAATTATAATCTATTGGAAGTCCCAAGTCAAGTATATCCTAAAATTAATTAAGGTTTTCAGTTGAGATAAAAAAAGTCAATGGCACGAGCGGGATTCGAACCCACGATCTTTGGCTTGATGAGCAGCGGCGTATCAAGCCGAAGATCGTGGGTTCGAATCCCGCTCGTGCCATTGACTTTTTTTATCTCAACTGAAAACCTTAATTAATTGTAAGATATTAATTGGTCAAGCGGACCACGAAATTAGTGAATTGAATATATCCTAAAAGTTTGGTAACATTGTAATAAGGAATAGGACTTAAGGAAATGCAGGCGTAAATTTGCGTCGTTTCGTCGCAACGACCAAGATTCGGAATGCTTTTGTCGTTTGCTAAAATGTGGTTCAAAGCCGATTTATTTTTTCGGAAATAATATCCAAGCTTTACATCCGATTTGTTTAAGCCAGAGGATTAAATCGTATGACGAAGGCACTATAAGGAAGACACCCAAATATGCAAATCCGATAACAAACGCCTATTCCGAGAATAAACCCCGTTTGTCCTCTTACTGCCAACTCGGATCGAGTCATTTTATGAAGGCAATTGCAAAAAGGAAGTCGCTGAGCTATCCTATCCGGCTGTATTTGAAGCCCCAACTGATTCTTTTCGGACGAAAACTCGACGAATGCATCAATTCCAAACCCATTTATTTTGCTTATTCGCTCAAATTATTCTTAACATTTTTGTTCAACGTACAAAAACATTTATGTTTCAATTTTGTTTTTTTGGAAAAAAGATTATCTTTGAACCATTCGTACTTATGATTAGCATCAATAACCAATTAAACCCATTCAAATATAGAAAATCGCTTTTTTTAGAATTTCGTTTTAAAAAACCTAAGTTACGTTAACGGCCGGGTTCATACTTTATGCCCCCTCACGCAGAAAAAGAGAAAAGATAACAAACAGCCCTAAGAAATAACAATTTTATCTGTAAAAGGCATTATAGTTTTTCAACTTCCAAGAAACTGCCAGTAACGCAATATATATTCTATTTGATATTACAATATTTAACAGTCCTTAAGTTTCTATTTTTAATATAATTGTCTAATTGTTTATGAAAATTAAATAATGAAAAAATAAATACTTGTTGATACAGGTGTTTTAATCAAGATTTTTTTTCAATTTGTCCCTTCGGGTTACTGGGAAAGTAAGGGAAAAAATCTTGATTAAAACACCCTTATTTTAAAGTATTTGTTTTTTCATTATTTAATTTTTATAAATAATATATCTTAATAAATTATAAATAAATAACGTTTTGACAAAAGTCGAATCCAATCAGCGAAAAATCATTGCTGAATAACTTGTAATGTGTTATGTTCTTACTTCTTTTTTATCAATTACCGCCACAAAAACAGTTTTTTTTACAAATCGTACGTCTAAAATTTTAATTTCATAAATTAGGCAGTACATCTTTTTTGGTTGTTTTATGTCATTTTATTGTATGTCAGGCCGTTTAAAAGTGTGGCTGCGGTGTTGACATTTGTCTTGCGACAGGGCTGGATGCCGTCTTACCCAACAAGACACACTTGCACTCCTCCTCGAAAACGAAAGTCTATCGGCCAAACCGGTTCACACCAAGGGAATCGTCGCCTTCCCAAAAGGTGATGTTCTTCTGCAACCAGTACACATCTGACCGGAGTCAAGTCCTCTCGAAGTAGCAAAGTTTGACCAGGGTTAATTTACAGCCAGCTGAACTTTCTTATCTACTTTGTCTAGCTTAAACACCGCGGAGAATTTAAAAAACGAGTTAATTTTAAGGTTCAAGGTAACAAATGTTCCGACCGTGCTTGCGCTGAAAGATGTTGCAGCCTGCAGAATTGCATCAAACTGGGGCAAGGTCGACACATATCACCCATTTTATATTTCAGAGCTGAAAGATTTAACGTCTTAAAATTAAATTATTCTTATTTCATATTCACAGTCTTGTGTGTATACAATTTATGAATATAAGCTCTTTCTTAACTTGTTCAGCTCGATTTACAATTTTTTCATGTCAGGAGAATATCGGGTTGCAAGCTACTAACAACTCGCATTTATTCATTTCTTCGATAAAATATTATAAAACATACTCTCAAAGTGCCATTATGTCAATTATTTTTATGACTTTATTCTACTCTTTGTTGGATATGTCAAAAACATTTTTTCTCTAACATCGACCTTAAAAGCAATGATAAAATCCTATTTTACAAGTAATTGTCACGTAAATGTCATCATTTGAAGTTACTAAAACTTAAAAAAAATTAAATTTTGATGGTTACTCAAAGAAATGTTAATAAAAATAATAACATAATAATAAGAAAGAAAATTAATAAATAATCATTATTAACAGTACTGTTTCTGCAAAAACGCTGAAACAGAGGAACAGATAAGGCCAAAGAAAAACTACGATTCATAGATAGCATTTATTACAAATATATAGGAAACTCTACAATATTTTTTCAGTTGTAACAGGAAAGTAGAAAAAGTTAGTAAAAATAAATAAATAAAAATGCTGATCTCATATTTAAAAAATAATGTCTTCATATTATACCAAGGATTCATTCCTAAACGTCCTGATATACAAATATGTTTTTAACTAATAAATTATTTTTAATTTAAATTAAAGCTCAAATCGCTTTAATAATCTTGAAAGACGATTTTTTTTCAAAAGTTCACGTTTGACATCAATGCACTTTTTAACACCGATATAAAGGATTATTAATGAGGCATGTCTTATTTTATCAGAATATTTTCTAAAATAAATGGCATGAAAGCCGAGATTGCGAAAGGCAAATACGATCAATTAGGATCACTTAACTGCAAACTTTTACATTCAACTTATCCATACGACAACATGTATTATTTCAAACATGAATTATCAGAAGCTCAGATAAAGTAAAACAAAAGTTTCACACTTCCTCACATTTTGTGTTAACAGCTTTTGTAATTGAACGAACGCAATAAAATGTTCAGGATCTGTTCAAGCTTATACGATCTTTACATTTAAATTAAATTTAAAAAAGTATAAATAAAAGTTCATTTCCAGTAAAATAGGTCAACAAATTATTTATGCAAAGAAATTTTGAAAAGACAATTCGGATTCGTTTTAAGCATCCTTCAAAACCCTAAAATACGAGTTTTATAGCAATCGAAAAATAGATTGTTTTGGCAGAATTAGCCGGGGGCAGTTTGTTACACTCCTATTTATTTGATCAAAAAATCAAGGACATTACAATCGTTGAAAAGCTGAATATTATCATCTACTTTCAGGCTGTGTCAACAAAGTTCAACTAGTAGACAATTTAACAAAATAAGAATAATTTAGCAAAAACGTCTAAATTATGTTTCATTTTATATCACCGGTTCTAATTTATTAACTGAAACCAGATTTATTCCCTTACGTGTATCTTAAGTAAAGTTTATAAGTAGAGTTTCCCGCAGATCGGTGGAGTTATTAAAGTTATCACCATTTTTGAAATTTCGAAAAAATCGGAGGAATTGCAAAGGCGAAGATTTTGAGGGATTTTTCGTTTGGTGGGGAGGGGCAAAAAACCGAATATCATCTTTCTCCCTGTGTTTTGCTAAATAATATTTTAACATACTTAGCTGCATATTCTCTGAATGTCAGAGCAAAAAATTTGCCTCTTTATAATGCAGCTCGAAAACGGAAATAATTTTATTACAAGGAAAATCCATTCATAAAAAACAAAGCGCTTAAAACGAATCCGAATAATTTAAATTTTAAAAAGGGTTTTTGATATAATTTGCTGGAAACATGGTTTTGTTTTTTGTAACATTTTACAAATTTAATTTCATATAATACCTGCTTATTTTTTCCTGTCCTAGGTAAGAAAACAATTCGACTGATACTTGAAATACATACACAATGAAGATAAAAAATATATTTTTAAAAAGTTATGCCACTTATTAAAATTTTTTTGTTTGTTTAGAGTGCAGAAGTCCAGCTTTTAAATGGTTGTAATAAATTTGAATTTGGGTAAAGTTTAGCAGAGTTATCAATTTTTAGAACGCAGGACATCGGAGAAAAAAAGCTTAAAAATATATTATTTATATATAAAAATAAATTCTTTTTCGTTGGCCCTAAAATCGTATTTATTTTTCACAAAAATATTTTTTTGGCTTGGAAGTGTCTTTGGTTTTCTTTTTAAATATGAATAATCTCATTAATACGATCCTACTTATTCCTTTCTTATCGTTGTTAAAAAATCCATAAACAAATTTATTTGCTAAAAATGTACATTCAGCGTTTATTGGGGTGGGAAAATAGTATTTATTTTATTAAAATTTGTTTCATGCCAAAAAAATATTTCATCCTACTCCATCGCTAGGTCAAAAATTAGGCAAAATATGTCCTTCGGTTTTTGTAACTTTTATTAACCTAATCTCACTTTATTACGATCGTTTATCACTTTCTTGCTCTACATAACAAAATAAATAGACTGGTTTCCTGGTTTCTAAATAAAACATTGAAATATATGCATAGGCAGAAAAATGCTTTAAAAAAAGTACTTAAATTACTTTGTAACAAATGGGGCCCTAGGGCTATTGGCAAGAATGCTCGGACGTTTAATATTTTTTGCCTTAGTATCATCAAAAAATTGTAATTAAAATCAATGACACTGACGTACTTCTCCTTGAAAATTAGAAATTGAAATTATACAAAACCAGACAAACATGACCAGTAAAAAATGTAACAAAATTTTAGGGGATGCATTCCTCGAGAGCTGGACGAAGATGTTTTCTTTCTAATTGGCCTCACGCCATGACTGTCCTTTAATATAAAATAATAATTTTGAAGATTGATCATTAGTTGTATATAGGAGGTAAATTTAAGACCTACAAAAATAAAAGAATTTTAGATGGTAATAATTATTTCCATACTTGATAGGTGGAATTTTGTTTTTAATTTTAATTTAATGGCTATTAGCTTCTCTGGCGTAGTTTGACGTCATAACATAAGTCAAAGTAATCCTGACGACACTCCCTCAGACGATCTGGAGCATACTGCTATTCTTCCTTCTTCTAGGAAATCGAGAGTCGCCGGGACCACTGTGGATCAATAACGAGTTTGAAGTAAAATTCAGGATTGGAGAGTGCTGGCTTCGAGGAAGCGATAGAAAAAAAACAAGTCTCGGTCGTCCTGGCCAAAAACTGCAAACCTGTTTGGAGCTGGATGCGAATTTCGTCTTTTTGCTCATGGTGCCCGGCTCGGCGAGATCCCGCTGCGGCGTTGAAGGTTTTTTAATCGCTTTGGCAGGCTCGGCGATCTTTATATCAACCCGACCCGGGTACCTGCAACAGACTGTGAATTGTATTATTGTACATTGGATACGAATCTAAAAAGAAAAGAAAAATTATCAGAACTGGCTTAGTAGTTTAAGCTTTTCATTTATCTGATAAAAACGTACGATAATTTAAAAACATATCATTTTATAAAAAAAATTACATACTTGCTTTAAGTTTGTTTGACAACCGAACAAGTTTCAAACCAGTCATATGTAACGTTAATATAATTGACAAGTTCATTACATAACAAGACGCAATATCATTTTGATCATTTTACATTTCTAAATCCAATTAAATCCGAATAAAATTAAAAGTTATTTAAATTAATTGTTTTGTCTGTTTAAACGCTTTTGAGTATCAAATTATCAAAGTTAGCAAGGAAAGTCAATGAGGAAGAAGATTCAATATCTTGAACACAAATGCAATTTTATACGTATTTCCTTTTCAATTATTTCAAATTATTGACTTACTGGATTCTGGAAAATATTTGTTATTGGTTGACGAACCCAGAGAAAAATGTACTAATCAATCTAACATAGGAAATACATACTTAACACATAGGGGGAGAGTAGATCTAACGTGTTCATAAAAGCCATAAGCAAACAGCGAGAAATTGCTATTGAAAAAAATTTTGCTGTTTACACCTACCAACCACACATTCCCGTACTTTGAATTGAACTTCTCATGGTCTCTTTTTCTCATATGTCTGATATAATTTGTAGAATACTTGAGAACAGGCAGTTTGTTTGGTGTCGCATCTTATTTAATCGATTAGAGCTTATAGAAAACATCCATTGAGAATAAACCGACACATCAAAATAATTGCTTATCTTGTCTATTAAAGTGACAAACAAATAAGGTTAAAAAATTACGATTAAGACATATTTTTGCTGCTTAGACATGCCAACCGTCCGTTTCTGTACAATAAATTGCAGAACATATAGGCACTTGATATGCAAATTCTGTTCACTTTTTACAATTAATTTGTTCTGTATACCTTATCGCAGGAAGTGTTGTTTGAATCATTATTTATCCATAAAAACCGATCATAAGAGATAAGACACTTTATAGCCGTTCTGAACGATCAACATCAATGACAATGGGAAGGAAAGAAATAATTAACGTATGGAGAGGTCAGATAATTGCCCGATTTGCCTTTAATTTCTTAAAAAATGCAAAAAGGCAAATAAACTCATTAAAAAATGGTAATCGAGAAATATTTTGCTACTTAAACTTGTCAGATTCTAAATAATAAATGGTATAGTCTCTTTTTCTTCTAATTCTGATTTATTTTGTAGCACAGATTAACTCAGGAAATGTTGGTTGATAGGAAATTATTATGCCCACGAAAGTTGGTAACGATTGCGTTATGATACTTTATTGCCGTTTTGTACGATGTAAATCAAGATACGTATCCACTGGATAGAAACTTCATGGATTTATCCGCTTATAAATTAAAAAAGACTAAGGGCATGTAGTCATGTACGTTTTCCATGTAATATTCAGAGCAGTACAGTATACCAGGCAAACCACAGTCTATCCATTACGCTCTCAGTGGTAAGGTTACGCCACTATATCCAACTTACGTAGAAATCAATATTTCTTTTGATGGACGATTTTGAAAGAGCAAGTGCGGATGTTTCGGTGCAATCTCTCGCTACATTCGGAACTTTTCTTCACGGACGTTTCACTTTCGCTAATCCGTGTATGTTGGCTGGTGTACATTGTGTGGGACGGACCTACTTCGTCTGATAGTTGATGGATTTTTTTTGTTCGAGATCAGCCTTGTTAGTATCCAGTGTGGCCTTTTTGTCCACAGTGTATGGTCGACCCGAACCTGTTCTCTTTCAAGGCTCGTGCCGCCTCCACACGGCCTGCTCGCCGATATTACCGTCCAATTCTAAACAAATAAAAATAAACAAAAAACTTGTTGGCTTTAATGTTTTTGAAACATTACGGTCACTTAGAAATTATACCAATTTTCCTAGAAAAAATATAGAGTCGTTATATTTCCGACAGACAAAAATATGTGACTGACATTTTTAACAAGACCAACATAGCAAAACAGCGAGATGTATAAAGTAAAATAAAAAAGACAGAGACAAAGTTATTATAAAACTTGCGCTTCTAAATAACATATTGTTTCCGTTTCACGGAAAAACATTGAATCATGAAAATGTAATCTAAACCTATCATAATGCTTACCGTTTCTAAACAAATCTTGACCCTAAACCTAATTCTCCACTAACTCACTGCCTAAAATCTCCAGTCTTAATTCATAAACCTGCCTAAACCAATCAAACCATACTCGCCTCTGTAACCCTAACCATACATAACCTAACTCCAACCGAATTCTAACTTCAACTAAACCTAACACTCCCGCGCGATAATGATCACTCAGAAATATTTGTCTATTCTCCAATTGGGCATGGATATTGATCCATGTTAAAACTAAAATATTAACTTTTGTTAATCAGACTACAGGGGCAACATTTGACAAAATTTTTAAAGTCCTGAATAATTGTTACATATAATCAACCAAATTTGAGAAATTGTAAAAAAAGATTTGTAAAACTTAACAAACCTTAGCCGCACATGTTTCTCTTTGTAGAGAAGATAAGATAACTAAAAGTCATAATTAACGTAAAGACTGTTAAACCTATCGGGCACATAATATCGCCAAATTCAGGTCAGGTTAATTATCTGGTGATAAAAGAAAGACAGAATCTCATGAAATTAGAGCCCATGGAAGTAGGAAAACTCAACCATTCAAATTTCTATTTACAGTAATTTTTTTCTGCATTTGGCTTCAAGTAAAATCTTACATTTTTATCATACATTATCATTTGTGATTCCTTACAGTTTAAGAAATTATGAATGCGTAATATGCATTATTAAAATAATGTATGCCCAATTAATATTGATGTATATTACTTTTAGTACATTTTTATAATTCACGTAATTTTTTGAGTCCGTTTTACTTGGGCTGTTATTATAAAATTCCTAATTATCGAGTCTAACTTAGAAATGTACCTATAATACCTAGAAGAAATTAAAAAATGACGTAGAAAACATTGCAAAAGGGATGATGTCAAAATCATCACCAGACATCAAACAAACCGATTATACTAAGAAACTGGGCAGTATAAGTAATAAATAATAATTTTACCATTCAACAAAAGATTTTAAATAGTAGGGGGAAAAATTTCAATTTATTGGGGAAATGACCAATTTGTGTTTTATTTATATATATAAATGTAGTATAAATTCAAAATTAGCTTATTTAAACCTCAATACATTGAAAATAATGTACAAATAAATTGGACCACAATCCCTAAGGTTTTCGACATTCAAACAAATTCTATCCTAAAAAGTGTAAAAATTTAATTATGCACATGCATTTTTTAAATGAATAACCTTTTTGGTTTTCTGTCGTGTAGAAATCTTCATTATAGACCAAAATCTTAATACTTTTTCTGATAGCATTCTTAAGTTTTCATTAATGTACTATCAAAATATTAATTATTTATCTATATGAAAAACCCTCAGATCTGTGTTATCAAATTAATTAATAAATTTTCCATTATTTTTTCGATTCCTCGATAAGTGTTGAAGTAATTAAAACTGAAAAATTACATGTTCAAATTGCATATTTTGAATGTTTTTCAAGGTTTCACTCAATACGAGTTTGCTTGATTTATTGTATATTTTTATTTACTGTATAATTAGGCTTTCGATAGTAGGCAAACAAAAGCTATTATAAACATTGTATTTTCAAATGAATACAGATGCCATTCTGCAGCACTCGGTTAGAGTGAAACTGAGTGGTGCTGTATTCAACGAAATTTAATCTCTGTGTCTCCAGGCAGGATCACGATCTCATAAAACACTCGGAATCTGACGGAAACGTGGAAACGGAGACCCCTTAGACATAGCTAGCGTGAGGTTTTCCCTAGTCTCTTCGATAAAAGATAAAGATTATTGAATTCCCTGTCTTATCTGATTTATTAGCTTAAACAATCCCGGAGCCTGGAGACACTGGCTTTCACTTTCCTGAATAATTGAAAATGCATGTTACGTTTAATCAACGGGAAGCTTTATTAAAGAAATTATTAAAACAATCTATTGAATTGATGTTCAGTTAGTGCTTTAAGATGAAGATTTCATCAAGATTACTCTTGAGACAACGTTACAGTTTCAGACTTCATAATCATTCAAAACAGTAATTAGTCAAATTTTTCAATTATGAGATTTTCCTAGCAATCGAACAATTCATAGATAATATTTAATTGCTATTAACTGTTTGTATCAGTTATCGAAATTTTGTATCAAATCGGTAGAAATTTTGGTTGAGTAAGTCAAAGCAGAATTCACGCTATGTATGAATATGTTTTAAGCTTTTTTTTTATAACTTTAGCTTTTTTAACGAATTACGCATATAAATAGTGAAATATGATCAATTGTCAATGCTTAGAGATTAAATAGAATAAAATCTATCCTACATGGGATTTCCATGTTTCGTAATACACGAAATTACAATTACACATTAGTGGTCTATTTAATGAAATTATTTTAACGGTTTGTTGATTTTTTAAACTTCGACAATTCTTAAATATTTTTAGATCAGACAACTTTTACACAGCCATCGTTTCCTAAAAGTGAATTCACCCAAACTGTTTACCGATACTGATACCACTTTACCGAAGTTAACAAAAACTGTTTCATGAGGTTATCGAACCATTCATAATTCTAAAATAGCCTTTCCTCATGTTGTCTTTCTTTAATGCTGCTTAGTTTTTGCGATTATTACATAGAATATTAGAACGTGTTTTCCTTAAAAACCATTAATGGAATGCATTTTTTAATTTATGGGACTCACCTGTCACGGATGTCGTACATTTTCTTCCTAGCACAATACAGTTTGGCAAGAAACGTTTTTAAACTTTTTTTTTTTTTTTTTTTTTTTTTTTTTTTTTTTTTTTTTTTTTTTTTTTTTTTAAACTGAGACTTTAATGTCAAACTAAGAAAATGTTAATTGTGCTTACATATTTTTATGAAGTTATAAATTATATTACGAATAATTTTAGGATATAAAACTTTCTGTTATTGCTGGCTTGAATAGAGTCTAGTTGCTAATTAATCTGAACCTTAATTTTCATTTCATATTTATTAATACATATGACAGTGTTTGATAGCTGTTGTGTTAAAAAAAGGAATGCTAACATTGAGCTGAAAACCTTCGTTAGTTCTTAAAGTTTTTGATTACAATGAAAATAAAAAAAGCTGTAGGATGCAGATATACATTTTTACTACCAGTGATCGAACGTTGTCCACTTTATCAAGGACAATTCTGTACATGAAGTAGACGTTTTTATCTGTACTTACAAAAGTAAATCACGAATTGATCTTTTGACACGCATGAGGTCAGACGTGATTCCGAAAACAAAAGAAACAATAATTTGAAGATAGAGTCGATAAGTGATCGCTTTAACGTTGGGAAATTACAAGCAATTTATGACTCACCCCAAATAGTGGCATGTATAAGATTTAATTCCGGAAGAGAAATATATATGTGTTTATAAAAGTCTTCAAGGATTTTTTTCTTCTCCTTTTATTTTCTTTGTATCACAGGCACTCCTATTCTTGAAGTCACGAATCCTTTACCTGCCTCGTACAGCAGAAATTAATTGGAAGTTAGAAAAAATCCGTTACTAATCGGCAGAAGATGAAGAAAAATTATAGTAAGCGCACACAAATTGATCGGACCCTATATTATTTTAATTGAAACTTAATAGAATCTGTCTTGCGAATCAAAGATTTCGACGACCTCGAATCCTAATTAATAGCCTTTTTAAAACAGATTTACTGGCTACTCTAATTCCATTGGCATTCATTTCATGAATAGGCGCCTTCATTTCTAATTTATCGCCCGAAGCCTGGGAATTGTAAAATATCTTCGGTGAGACACGACCGCAAAATCTATATGGTGCAGCCTGGCAGCGAATAAATATAAGATTGTTCAGTGCTATCAGATTATTTTTTTATTAAGTCTGAGAACAAGGAACGTTTTGCAAGATACAAATTTAAACCATATCTTCTTATAGATAAACTATTTTTTTTAAACACAAGAAGTAATTAATTAACAAACAAAAGAAAGTCATTCATCCAATACCAAGAATTGCATTGAGAAATGTGGTACTTTTACATCGATGTGATACAATGCTCATTCCCCCTCGGCTCATTATACATACAATAATTGTTCGTTTCCTGGTCACATCGGCCTGGAAGGTAACGAACGTGCAGACGCAGCGGCGAAAGCCGGAAGACTCACCCTCCCATCGCGATCAGCCCTCTGACGCTAAGCGAGCCGTAAAAACAATATAAGGGAGAGATGGCAGCGTCAGTGAGCGGGTTCGTCTGAGAGGGTCTTGTATGTTAAGAGCACGACAAGCAGATGGTCCCGCGAGAGCCCGAACCGGAAACAAGGAATAGTCCTTGCGAGATGAAGGATAGGTCATACGCGGTTGACTCGTGAACCAACCCCCGCGCAGGTGCCCCCTATGCAGAGAAAGGATGCTAGATGTGTCCCACATAATGTGTCATACCTTGGCTCCTTATAGGGTGAGAGTGGGCATACCACCAGATTTAAAAGGGGTTCTCACACCGTAGCGAATTTCAGGGTTCATTGTTCCGCTTGTTAGGGGAATTGGGAATTTTTTTATTGTGTATAGCCTTCAACATATGTGTTATGTGAATATGTGTTTTGTATGGGGAAGTGTATTTATTAGTGTGAATGGAGAGGGGCTGAATTAGTATGTTCATCGTCCCTCGAACTGTTTGCGTGACTTGGTCGAAGGCGGAATATTTATAAAAGTACCCCATCCACCCCAAATAGATTAG